CATAGTACACATTTCCGAAACCAATTTCCGTACTATAATTTCGGTTCTATTCCATCACCCAATATCAAATTGTATACTATTTCATACTTTTCGTTCAATTATCCTATTTTCAAAATTCCCTCCATATCGTTATTCCATGTACCATACAAGACCATATACCAAAAATTAAGATTCCAGCCAAGCATTTACCAAAATAAATATCATTTAGTACATTTCGTACCAAAACCACAGCTAAATCTCAAACACAGATGACTTCTGTAATCTAAATATCACATTTAAGAATTTTATCTCTATTCCTTCGCCCAATACCAAACAGGAACCCCAATGCAATAATTCAAAATTCCAGCTTCATCCGTTCACCCCAAACTATACCAAATTTAGCACCATTTAGTACAGTTCGCACACTTACTGGGTGAGATGAAAAAACTGCAACAAAGTCAAACCCCATAATTTTAACAATTTTTTAATTTTTATTGAATGAAAGCAAAAAATGTCAGAAATAGCATCAAATTTTAGAATAAGTTTAGATTTCTTCGAATTGGTCTCCTTTGGCACGAATTGTGGCCTTCAAACGCCCAATGAAACCATCACACGCTGCCCGAATGTTGCTCTGCGGTATTTTGGCCCATTCCCGGCGAAGCGTTTGCTTGAGGCGATCGACATTTTGGTATTTTTTAGTGCCAACTTTGCTTTCCAAATTACTCCAGACACAATAGTCCAACGGTTTGGTAATCGGAGATATTTGTGGCCATTGTGCGCTGGAAATGAAGCGAAGAACCTTATTTTGTAGCCGTTCTTGGATAGCACGTGCTGAGTGCGATGGTGCTGAGTCCTATTGGAATGTTCAAGGTCTGCGGCCACAATGTTTGCGTGCCCAAGGCTTTAATACACCCTCCAGAATATTTTCGTCTGATGCCACGGTCGATTAATACGAGCGGAGAGTGACCATCGGCTGTTATGGCGTTCCACACCATCACCATGGCCGGCGCTTGAGTTCTGTTGGCCAACCGAAGGTGCACATTTTCAGCTGAGCTCTTTGGCAAGTAAACACGATCATTTTGTTTGTTTACAAACTGCTGGACAACGAATGTTTTCTTATCGGAGAAAACCAAATTCGACAGTTTACCACTTTTAGGCCAAGCGAAGCAACTCTTCAGCTTTTTTGAGTCTATTTTCTTTCTGTTGCGGTGTAAGTTCTTGCACTTTTTGGAATTTCAATGGCTTTACCTACCCCGAGCTCATTTTTCAATATTTGCCGAATGGAATATTGCGATATGTTCAGCTCACGAGCCATTTTTCGGCCACTACAACGCGGGTCAGCTGATGTTGCTGTTTTTTTTTTTTTTGCGTCCAGGATAAAATCGCTTCTTTACTTTTCGAACCTTTTCTGCTGATGTTGCTGTTTTTTTCCATCCACTCCCTTGACGTCGGCCTACGCTACCAGTATCACGATAATGATCGATGGTACGAGACACAGCCAAATGTAAAGAAATCACGTTTGAATTCCATCACGAATAATTGTTTTCTGGAAAATTCTCACAAAAATGCTTTTATACGCTTGTAAACAATATAATGAGCAGTCACTGGGTTATTTTAAACAACTGTCGGACGAGTGGCGTAAAAATGACAGCAGTCTGAAGTTTGTTGCAGTTTTTTCATCTCACCCTATATTGCACATGTCCTTCATATATCAAACTCGATTTTCCCTTTGCTACATCTATCCTGCACCTCATCAGTGACTGCCATTTCATATTACAGAATTCTGGTTCATTCCGTCTGTCCAATACAATCTATTCTATGTAATCCTGCACTCCATCAGTGACTCTCATTCTAAATTTCAGAATAATAGGTTATTCCGTTCGTCCACTACCAGTCATTAATTTTTTAATACTGTTTGTACCCTTTCAGTACGTATTTCCAAAAACGCTGCTGTAACACGTCTACGCACCAAGACCGACCCTCGTGCCAAATTTTAACATTAGCCGTTTTGTCTGGGCGTTGATTCTGACTGACTGCTAGTTATTTCACTACACTTTTATGTATTGGTTCGTAAATGACTATTTTATTGGGCGAATTACAAACGGAATAACAAACTTATTATTGAAAGGTATAAAAATAAAAATAATGTCCGATTGCCATACATTGCCATACTCAGAAGTTCACATTTTTTACATTCATAGGAGGATTATTTTTTACCTTTGTTATTCATAAAGTATTCCTTTAACCTAATTTCTTTAAGTGCAGAAGATTACCATAAATCCTTATAACAAATAATCCACACATACGTTTGTATGTTAGGCAAGCACTTACGGGCTTATGAAAACACACATGAATATCCTCATGTCAGATATGATTGTAGTAGTATTGAAATCCACAATAAAAAAGAACCTGGCATATATTGACCCATATAATTGAAGAGTTTTAGATATATATATATATGAAAATATACCCTATTCAATAACCTAATGTATGTGTATAGAATATTTCCAATATTCATAGAAAAAGAAAAACTTCCTTGTTTATAGCAGGAAAAAAGGTTTTTTTCTAGAGAACGAATGAATGAATGAGTGTAGAATTTCTCTTTACACGGAAGATCTTTATTAATATCCCAAGTAGTGAAAAGTTTGGACCCTACTAAAAGGTTAATATATATTTATCATTTAAAGATTTATATGATTCCGTATGGAGTATTCGTGGAAATAACATTTCAATAAACAATTTTTGTGAAGAAAACTCTGAAATTTCCTTAAAAACGTTGATACTTTCTCAGTTAAACAATGCAATTAATTTTGAAAAGTTTTTTTTCAGTTATTTTCTCCTTTCATTCCCCCAGTTAATTGCGTATAACAAAATAAAAAAAAAATATTAAAAAGAAAAAAAAATCAACCAGAAATTCTAACAATTTCATTTGTACAGTTCGCTGAGCACCAAAGTTCACTCGCCAAATTGGCAACAGCAGCAGGCAGACAGGGCAATGGAAAAGAGTTCATTGTATTAGTTTTTGTGTGTGTGTTCTTCTAATTCCACGTTGCAAGAAATTGCGCATGGAAATGTGGAGCAAAGTGGCGGAGTAACTTACTTATGTCATCAAATGACTTTCCATAACGTAATATAACAACAACAATACAAACCTCAAAAGCAAACGACAATAACATAGCGCTGGAGTGCTGTGTTTCGGATTTGGGGATAGGGTGCTTAATACGTCTATGATGGGGTGGGGTGGGCGTTGGTTGTTGCGGTTCTCAGCCATATTTCCGCCCGATTGCATTTATGACGAATGTTGCTGTTTTCTTTTTCTTCTGCTTCTGGTCGTTTGCTGTGTTGCAGTATTTCTGCTGAATGCAGCAACAACCGCAATAACAATTCCAAAGCCTTTTTTTTTGTATTCGATGTGCTATTACACAATTGTTTTCTTTTCATTCTTTCTTGTTTTTTATATATTTGCACATTCATTCCAACCCAACATAAGCCTCCACCATCCGCCCACCTTTGTGGAGACTCGAAAAGACTTAAAGGTGGTACCATGAATGAAATGTTATCAGAAATGCCGGAGAAAAAACAACAAAAGCCCAAACAAATGATAGATAGTCTCAAACAGGATGTAGGTGTACTCTTTTTTAATTCCGCTTTCCAGGTTGGTTGGCATGTTTGCTAAAAAAAATCCTTTTTCAAATGTATGCACATGCGATTTGAGATGGTACGGTGGCGAAAAATTTGTAATACTTGAATATTTAAAGAATAGCTTCACCCAAAATTTTAATATCCATGGCATGAAGAAAAAGGCATTTCGAATTCACGAGGAATGCAAAAATATGTTTGAATCAAACTAAAACAAGCAACTAAATTTTCAGGTAAAACAGGGTGAGATGAAATAACTGCAACCAACTTTAGACTGCTGTCATTTGTAAGCCACTCGTCCGATAGCTGTTGAAATTATTCCAGTGACAGCTCAGCGACGAAGCGACTTGATCGACACCCGCGTCGCTGTGGCCGAAAAATGGGTCGTGAGCTGAACATATCGCCATATTCCATTCGGCAAATATTGAAAAATGAGCTCTGAGTAAAGCCATTGAAATTTCAAAAAGTGCAAGAACATACAACGCAACAGAAAGAAAATAGACTCAAAAGAGTTAAGGAGTTACTTCACTTGGCCGAGAGTGGTGAACTGCCGAATTTGGTTTTCTTCGATGAGAAAACATTCGTTGTCCAGCAGTTTGTAAACAAACAAAATGATCGTGTTTACTTGCCAAAGAGGGCAACTGAAAATGTGCACCTTCGGTTGGCCACCAGAACTCAAGCGCCGGCCATGGTGATGATGTGGGCCCCCATAAAAGCCGATTGTCGCTCTTCGCTCGTATTAATCGACCGTGGCATCAGAATAAATGCCGAATATTATCGCGGAAATATTCTGGAGGGTGCAATAAAGCCCTCGTTTTCGTATAGCCCCATATAACGGTACCTCCCGATTTTTAATATTTGGTTGATTTTTACTGCGTTTTTCCACGGAGTAACATCAAAACTATTTTATCAAAAAGTATGTGTACAAATGTGTGAATTATTTCTTAGTGGGAGTGTGGTTCCCATGAGCTCCCTATGTACGTTGCTGGGCCGGGATATACATCTATCTGATAAATTGTTTATTTATTTATTTTTTTGTTTTTTTTTTTTTTTTTTGGTATGTTCTTTCTAATTTGACCTTGATTAGCATGACCCCAATTTGAAATTTCATTTTAAGGCAATATCAATGCTGAATTTAGTAATTTATAAATATTACTAATTTTTTCAGAAATTTCTTCAAACAATTTCTAATTTTCAGTTTTCCACCAACCCTTCTAAAAATGGGTATACCACAATATTTTTAGAATATTTTTTCCCAAACTGCTTTAAATTATACATTTATTTAAGTAATTCTATAGCATGTTTAGCAAAATATAATCCTCTTAAAAATATCTTGGTAATTTAATAATAATTCGTGTTGTTTTTTGTCTCTTTCTTTGCAGCTCTTCGAGTAACAATAACAACAACGTTGATGATCTGCGAAGCACAAATGAGGAATATTGAATTTTGCATGTAAGTACTGACTGAATGTGAGAGTGACTGATTGTTTCTAGATTACAAGTCTGTGTATGTCGATATGTAACTTTCATTCAACTCACATTCCAAAAAAAATTCCCGAATCAATTGTCATCACCATCATCATCCTTTTGCTGACCAGACCCAGGCTCTTCAGCATGGCAAGCGTCAGTGGACGCCTTTGTTTTCTCTTTAAGCCGCTTAACATGACTTAAAGTGCTTCGACCAACAAAAGTAACTGTTATTTTAATGCCAATGACAAGTGTTGGTCGGTCGGTCGGTTGGTTGGAATGCCATGTCATCCCTGCATTAAATGCAGCCTTCCTCTTCATTATTTGATGTGGTTTTGTGGTGGGTTCAATGAGCTCCGATAATGTAGCAAAACTGGAGATATCCATAAAAAACCAAAGCCCAATACAAAAGAGTGAATGAGAGAAATGAGAAATTTTCAAAAAGGCTTTTGGTATTTAAGCAAACACACACAATTAAAATAATAAAATCCTTATTCAGGGAATGGAAATGTTTTCCTGGAAATGGAAAGTGTTTTTCCCCACTTCCAATATGAATTTTTCTGTAAAATGTTGTCTTTTATTTCTGGTCGAAAAACGACCAACCAATCTATCAACCTGGCGCCCCATATCAGTTGTTGTTAATTACAACTCATGTAATTATGTGTTGTTGTTGTCGATACTGTTTTCTACTTTTGTTTTTTTTTTTTGCGTAACGACAAACAATCAAAATAATAATCATACCTTTTTCAGTTCAATAATCCGCAATGCATTTACTTTAATTTAACCAAATTCGACATGCAGACAAACTGACAGACAACCAGACCAGCAGACGACCATATAAACCGCACACACTCTAGCTTGGCGAAGAGCTTTTCAAATATGGCTATGCCAACTGCCATAAAATAGTAAGCATTGCGCCAGGAAAGGCTTGTGGCAAAACTGCAACCAACCAGCCAACAACGTCAACAATGACTAATTGAGTGTTGCAAAAAAAATGTCGAAAAAAAACAACAACTACTAAGGAGAGTTGCATTTAAAGTTAGGTTTAGGTGGCATATTTCATCAGAGGTGATGAATTACATCAGAGCTAAGTAAAGTATAAAGTACGATAATGTGTGAGTACAATTAGTACTCACATATATTATTTTTTGGTCATAAAAATCAAATAGATGAGTACGTATTAATAGGGCTTTCGCGGCTAACAACTACTTATTTAGTGGGAAATGCTCATTTAAAAAAAGGGTTAGTAAAATTATCTGTAATGAGTGTTTGAGCTGGGTATCATTTAGTAAAGCCAAAATGGGCTCCATCTAATTAATAAATTCTGATATATTAAACATATTAAATTCATCATCCCTATCTAATACATCGAAATAATAATTTTAGACCTAACAAAGTATTTACAGGATGAGATAAAAAAAACTGCAACAAAGTCAAACGCCATAATTTTTATTTTGGCCCATTCCCGGCAATGCGCTTGCCTGCTTGAGGTAATCGACACTTTGGTATTTTTTAGTGCCAACCGTGCATTTTGTTTGTTTACAAACTGCTGGACAACGAATGTTTTCTCATCGGAGAAAACCAAATTCGGCAGTTCACCACTTTCGGCCAAGCGAAGCAACTCCTTAGCTCTTTCGAGTCTATTTTCTTTCTGTGGCAGTGTACGTTCTTGCACTTTTTTTATACCCTCCACCATACTATGGAGGGTATATTAATTTTGTCATTCCGTTTGTAACTCCTCGAAATACTCATGTCAGACCCAACAAAGTATATATATTCTTGATCAGCGTAAAATTCTAAGACGATTTAGCCATGTCCGTCTGTCTGTCTGTCTGTCTGTTGTAATCACGCTATCTTTCGAACAAATTGAGATAGAAGGCTAAAATTTTGCACACAAGTATATTTTGCCAGTAGGCAGGTTAAGTTCGTAAATGGGCCATGTAGGTCTAAGTTATCATATAGCCCCCATATAACTGTGCCCCCATATAACCTGTACCTTCCCGATTTTAGCGACATTATTCACCAGAATTGTTTCAAATTTGGCATTTGAAGTTCGTAATGGATACTACAGCCTAAGACATAAAATAATCTGTGCAGGTCCACGTCTTCGTATAGCCCCCATATAACGGTACCTCCCGATATTCGGTATTTTGATGATTTTAGCGACATTATTCACCGGAATTGTTTCAAATTTGGTATTTGAAGTTCGTAATGGACACTACAGCCTAAGACAGAAAATAATCTGTGTAGGTCCACGTCTTCGTATAGCCCCCATATAACGGTACCCCCCGATATTCGGTATTTTGATGATTTTAGCGACATTATTTACCGGAATCGTTTCAAAGTTGGCATTTGAAGTTCGTAATAGATCCTGCACGTCTTCGTATAGCCCCCATATACCGTACCCCCCGATATTCGGTATTTTGTTGATTTTAGCGACATTATTTACCAGGATTTTTTCAAATTTCGCATGTGAAGTTCGTAATGGATACTTCAGCCCATGCCAGAAAATTGTCTGTGCAGGTCCACGTTTTCGTATAACCCCCATATAACGGTACCCCCTATATTCGGTGTTTTGATGATTTTAGCTATATTATAAACAGTTTTTTCTTCAAGTTTCGCATTAAAATATTGTAATAACTTATGACAAAAGTTGCCTATGCAGGTCCACGTCGTCGTATAAGCATTCGGTATTTTTAAGATTTTAACAGAATTTTTAACGGATTTTATGTTTTTTTTTTTTGGAAATTTGTCAAATTTGTACCAAATGGTGGAGGTTTTAATACCCTCCCGGCCGAACTTACAGCTTTTTTACTTGTTGGAATTTCAATGGCTTTACCCCGAGTTCATTTTTTAATATTTGCCGAATGGAATATTGCGTTATGTTCAGCTCACGAGCCATTTTTCGGCCATTTCGACGCGGGTTTCGATCAAGTCGCTTCTTTATTTTTCAAACCATTTCTGCTGATGTTGCTGTTTTCTTCCGTCCACTTCCTTGACGTCGGGCTACGCTACCTGTATCACGGTAACGAGCGAACGAGCACAAATCAGTCTTTTGTCTGCAGGCAGGTCATGTTCGAAGAGCCATATCAGTCCACGATATAGCCCCCATATAACGGTACCTCCCCATATTCGGTATTTTGATAATTTTAGCCACATCTTTCAATGGTATTATATGAACTTCTACACAAGGAGCTCCTTCCGAGTAATTTACCCCCTGGAATAGAATTGTCTATGTAGGTCCATGATATCAGATACCCCTCATACAACGGTATTAGGTATCGATATCACTATACCCATATTCGGTATTTTCACCGTAAATTCTTCAAATTTCATATTCGTAAGGCGTACTTCAACCTATGACGGAAAATTGTCAATGCAGATCCACGTTTTCGTATAGCCACCATATAACGATATTCGGTACTTTGATGAATTTAGCGACATTATGAATCGGAATTGTTTCAAATTTCGAATTGTTTCAAATTTCAAATTGTTTCAAATTTCGAATTGTTTCAAATTTCGTAATGGGTACTAAAAAAACGGAAAATTGTCTATGCAACCCACATACAACGGTTTTCATTTGAGCTTGGTTCAAACTTGGAAAACCCTAATATTTGTTTTAGTGCTAGGTCAGGTTCGAACATGGATAATATCAGCTCAGTCCTTCCATTACAAACCCAACAAAGGATTCACATTTTGAAGAGTCCGAATGTTTTTTATATTTGGCACACCCCAACGTTTCTACAAACCCTAGATCTGGTATGAAGATAGGCCGAAAAGGACAACAAAGTCTGGTACCCACAAGTGGTGAACATTTTAAAAAACCTAACACGCATAAAATGCGATTCTTTTCACACTGGAGACTTTCCAATATTTCAAACACAATATCTAGTGAGTAGGTATGAGAAACGGTGCCACAGAGAGCTCATTGGAAAAGCTAAGAAAACAGAAAATATGAAAATACAACTAGCTTGCCGATGCACACACACTTTGTAAACGAAATTTGATGTTCGTAATAGCCCATCGAAAAAATCGAATTACTAAATAATGTGTGTATTGATAAGTACTTACCAAACTGCCGCCAAGACCTCACGTGTGCTTGACACGAATTGTATGGGCAACCTGCGAAACCTAAACATTATATTCAGGGTTTCCGACAAAGTTACTGCGATGTCCACAAAAATACTTATGGACAATTGGAAATCCTCACAAAAACCTGGAAGTTGTATGAGCAGATGATGATGATTATGAGCTATGTAAAGAACCTACATTCTGCTTTATCTGTTGCTTAAAAATATTGATCTATTCCAAAAAAGTAAAATATAACTTACACTTGTCATTACTATGTAATGTGACTTTGCCCCATAGAGAGAGTCTAAAATAACTCTTTATATGTTTTATAACACATTATAAGGTTGGGAGTTCAGTCGCAATAGCGGTCAATAGAAAAAGAGTGGAAAATTGGCTTCTAACAATAAAAGGAAGAAATATATTTTTCTACATTTTCTACCAGTTATTTCGGGCCACAAGTCTTGGTATAAATAATGGGTTGGTATTTTTGAATCGTAGATAGCAACAAATGCCGAAAATTGGCTGGATGACATATTATTCTGTAACGGAAGTTTTTGCTGGGTAGGAGTTATGTATGAGGTTTATTGTCTATGGAAAATATATGGAAGGTTTCTACTCATAGAAAACAAGAGAAGATTTTCTGTTCACATATGACCTGTGTAGGGTATTCCGCCCATGGAAGACTTGTTTAAGACATATTATTCATAGTAGTCCTGTTAAGGGATGATTGCTGAGCATATGTCTTCATGAAAAAGTCTTTTGTCCATGCAAGATCTTTTCTTCTAAGCGGTCTTCTAAGCGGTTTTAAGGAAATATATTAGGTGGTAATGAACATTTTTTCTGGGATTTTTGTTGATTCCAAGGAATAGAATCCATAAAGTGTGGTGAATATTCATAAAGGTGGTAAACGGCGAA